ACCAACTTGAAGAGAAATAAAGTACTCTGTCTTTCGTATTGTTGCAATTCCGATATAGAATCGAAGGGTTATAATAGTTCGTCAAAAGCTTTACGCAGCTGGATACAAAGAACTGATTGTGAGTGTTTTATTTTCTTTAAAATTGGGCTTATTCCTAATTTTTAGTACAAATTTATTATATTTACGTCTGATATAAATTATATCGAAGTGGTGTGTGCCTATTAAATGTGCGAACCATATTTTGTTTTTCATTCTAATTATTAAATCATGACAAAATTTAATACAAACTACATTCTTGTCTAGCCGTAAGAGCTAATGAACTTAAGGAGCTAACAGATTGTCTAATAAAAAAGGACAACTTAATTATTGTGATTTAATTCCTAAAAAATTAAGCAAGCAAGGTGTTTAAATTGGTGAGACACTAAATAAAATGTTTTCGGTGATTCAATTAAAAATCCCTATCGTAAAATGTTAATGGCCGTTAAGTGTTGAACCGGCTGACATTTTCTATGGTATTTCTCTTCCAAGTTCTCTCAAACGGTTTATTACTTGTTAAATATGGAAGAATTTATTCAGTTGCACGTATGTCTTTTTGCATAACTCATTATAAACAAGAATTTATAGTCGATGTAACGCTTCTGAAAACACATTATAGAGATTTTTGTACCAGGCAAATCGAATCGAACAAAAATTCAAGATTTTTTCTATAATTAATAGGTTAGAATAAAATTTGATGTACTGAACACTTTTTTATAATAATCTGGATCTCGGTTTGGTCTAGATAAAAGAGCAAATTGAATTGTTACTGCCAAGCTTTCGGCCTCGTTTAAGGTCATCATCAGTTCAAAACAATTTTAAAGGTGTGTATAAATTGACATAATTAGTTTGTAATAGATGGTTTTAAATTTCTTTGAAGACAGACTCAGTACCAGTATTGCCGAGGACTGTATCACTATTTTAATCTTAGATCTGCCTCCAAAGAAATTTGAAACCATCTATTTCAAACTAATTATGTCAATTTGTAGACCTCTTTAAGTCAGTTTTTCCCTTATGATGACCTCAAAATGGGTCGAAAGCTTGGTAGATAATAATTGAATTTGTTTTTTATCCAGACTTTTTAGTACCGAGATCCAGATTTTTCGTTGATGGTATCGCACGTTCATATAAAAAGCCAAATTATTTCTTGGTTTTATACCCTTTCACGAATGCATATCATTTAATTTCTACAGTCGTTTGTAAGCTCGTGAAATTATTTATATATAATCTTCAAACCGGTCTAGGAGCTGATGTTTGGCGAGTATCTATTAATAATTTGACTATAAAAAAGCAAAAACAGTCCGACATGCAGACAGCTGATGATCGTGGTGCGACCGGACATCGAAATGGTATGAGTGACAAATCCGATTATCTCAACAGTCGTAATCCAGACCGGCCGAACCCGACATTTAAATCTGGGTTTGTCCTTCCCCGTCAAATCGTTTCCGTTTGAAGCCGTACATTATTGTCTCCCTTTGAAAATAGATGGGAAAATCTCGGTCCTGAGATGTTTTCCGTCTGCATAAATTCAGAGGATTTGAGATCTGCACCGTTCTGCCAATCTTACCAAAGAAGAAAAAGTTAATATATTTCTTAAAATACTATTTTATTTTGTTTCAATTTGATTGTTAAATTTATAAACACACGTTTGTTTGATGCAAAAGAATTTCTTAAAAACTTTTCAATCTATCGAAGATTTCAAACATTCTAAAACAAACTCATATCAAAAATACACCTTTTGAAAGGAAATTTTCTTTTCCTGTTACTTCAACGACATTTTCTTAATAAAAGAATAATAATAACAAATTGCGTTTATTTTTAATTGAAAACAATAAAATAGCCAAAAAATGTACAATCCCAATGTCAAAAATCAGGATTACACAATACTCAAAAAAATTCCACATTCTAGTACACTAATTACATTAATATAAAGTAAACACCACATTAAAAAGGGTCAAAGAATATGTTCAATATTTTTTTCCAATGAATACCAGAAACTGGAGGAGTTCCCCTGAGCACTGCAGCTTATTGTACTTTGTCCCTGGCTCCATTTTTGAGGGCTCGAAACACGAGTGTGAATTTTTATTTCACGGTGTGCCGGTGTTCTTCCATCGAAGAAACTCATTTTTGAAGGGGGTTGGGACCAAATTCAGGGTCGTTGAGATCTGATCCTTCCCCTTCCATTGATGAGTGCTGTGCCAATTTCTTTTAATTGCGGCCTACGGTCCCTTAAGAGTTAGCAAAAAGTCCAGAGGCGACGGTGGCGTTCGAACCCACAACCGCGGGATCTCCTAGCCGAGATTCTGACGCCTTAACCACTCGGCTACCGCAGCCCCCATGTTTAATAATAATAACATAGAAAGAAAATGTACTAGAGGATGCACTGAAAAAATCCTCTTAAGAGTGAACAGTCAAGCGGCCCTTAGATCAGCACATCCAAAATAGAGGTTGAAATTGTCCAAAACTTTCCAAAAATAACGGCCTTGGGTGCAAAGGCAAAACAGAAATTTCAGGTTATGAACAAGAAGTCAAGCGGACTCGGGGAACTGTAAGATCAATTATAAGCACCGGACCTGACAAAAACATCAAAGATCGGATCCTTCATCTCAAAATGGGTCCACACAAAACAAAAGGAGAAATGGGCGAACTCTAGATGGAGTACTCTAGCCAGACATGGTAAATTCTTGGTTAAATAACCCTCGCCAAAACTGGCCAATACTTGCTACAGACAGATAGACAGGGTAAAACTCAGGGAGTGATAGGTTCTTTTCTGGTCACTGGCATCTGAGAAAACACCTTCTCATCATGGGACGATGTCCTCATTTGTTATGCAAAAAGGAAGAAAAGCTGCCACTTATTTAATGGAGCCATAGCCCGGGAAAAATTATTACATCAACGACAGTCTAGGTGTCTGTATACATTGCTACAAACAGATAGACAGGGTAAAACTCAGGGAGTGATAGGTTCTTTTCTGGACACTGGCATCTGAGAAAACACCTTCTCATCATGGGACGATGTCCTCATTTGTTATGCAAAAAGGAAGAAAAACTGCCACTTATTTAATGGAGCCATAGCCCGGGAAAAATTATTACATCAGCGACAGTCCAGGTGTCCATTCAGAGAACCAAGTTAGTTGAACTGACCTAAGGAATTGGGAAAAGTACAATAAGCCAAAAGGTCGCAGTCCTTGTGGAATAACAAATCCCCGTTTCCTAGTATTCTTATCATCATGTAAAAGAGGTTACAAATACTCATAAAATTAAAAACGTCTTGCCCTAAAAGCATCAAAAAATGAGTCAAGACCCCTAAAAATGTCTAAAACCGCGGGAAAACATAACGAATAATATCTTGGGTGCAAGGGCACAACGCAATTTTTGGTAATGAAAAAGCGGACAAACTGAGCAGAGGATCTGCAAGACTAATTATAGACCTAGAAATTGGGATAACAAGAACAAACATCAACAACTGCATCAGAATAGTTTCACACATAAACAAAAAGAGGAAATGGAAAATTCTGGAGGCATCAGACGTAGTAAGGTAATGGATAAAGAATCCTAGCCAAAACTAGCAAACACATGCTACAGATAGATTATTCATGGGGGTAATAGGTAATTGGCATCTGAGGAAACACCTACACAACATGGCATGTTGCATACTTGTATGTTTTAGTGAAAAACTAATAATAATGGTCGATGGATTGGAGGAACTAGAAAAAGTACACAAAGCCCTAAGTTTGAAGAGCTTGGGGGCTGCAAAATCTTCGCTTCTTTTTATCCTCCTCATCATACACCGAAATAAAAAAGCATAAAAATTAATTTATTGGCATTATTTTCTTGTATATTTTTCCGATGGAACAGCAGTACTATGCTCTGACCGCAATATTACAGTTGCTTCATAACATCTGGCAAGAAACATAGCTCATTCTTAAGACAAAAGAAAACGAATAAGAGAAGCCAAGAGTGTTTAGGTTACACTCCGATGAAAATCTCTCACCATTATTTACTACATAAGTTACTACCACGTTCCTATTCCCAACTCTGACTGGATTGGATTTCACCTAGATATACTCTTAACATTGAACCATCAACAAAACGCTACAATCTAATCTAAAAATGTGTTAGGCGACAATGCAGGCTATTGAGGCAAAAATAAGTTACAATGTACGAAACTCTGCTACAACCGATTTGCAAGTACGGTACAAGTATTTTCAAGTACATTATGTTCACATTATGTCTCCAAGACCTCCCACTTATCCAAACATTTATGCAACAAAAATTTACCAAGTTCCACAATAAGCTCTCCATTCACCCAAAGCTTTGTCCATATACCATCCCTACAGTCCTGTAAGACCACGCTACCTCCTTTCTGGGAATCGTTACAAACTAGTAAAATAAAGTGGTCCATGCAATACAAATGAACTATGTAAATATGTATTTATCCTTTAATTACATGTTTTAATTTTAAATGGTAAGCAAGAAATAAACAAAAATATTTCTAAACAAAACATTACATATCAATCAAATCCTACGACCGTTATTGAAGGCCACTTCTAGTCGACCCATAACAGGGTTGTAAATAAGTGATTCTTACGCATATTAAGTCAATTAATTTCATGTAAGTAAATTGCAGCAAAAGACTATAAAAAACATTATATAAAGGTTTATTATAAACGTTCGAGAAATTGAAAGCCAGTTTGTCCAGTAAATGGCATATTTTGAAGGAGGCATTTTTCCACTTATAGGGATCCAATTTTCAATTACATTATGACTTTGAGTGATTTACGTTCGGAGTCTGATTTTATAGGACAGTACTTATATGTAGCAGTTACAGCGTAAAAGGGCAGCTGTCGTTATATATCGTCCTTTAACAGGATTTCATACCTGTCCTCTTGTCTGGATGAAAATCCGCCTTTAAGATGTATTTTCAGCACGTGATATTTCAAAGACGTTTTTCATTTGTTTCAGATGCATGTAGAACGACCATCGTGGAGGGACCCTAATGCGAGAAACCTCCGCAACTCAGGGGTAAATATCTGTATATTTGTATAATGATTTACTACTATCAGTTAGAAAAAATTGTATGGAGTCTACCTCTAAAAGTTTCCTAATGTTATTAAAGGTTTATTTCGGACAAATTGAAGCTTGTTATGATTAGATGCTAATGTATTTTACCATACAATATATAACTTATAAGTGATTTTTTTTTAAACTTAAATGTACTTTCGTTAAGGTTGTCATTGCTGCGAGAGAGGTTCAATCGATGATTCCTAAATTTAGCTTATTGTCCAAGGAAAAGCCATGTAAGAGCCTTGTCGACCTAACCCTCAATTATTAACCATTATCATTAACCCTCAAACATTCTAGTATTGACCTACATCTAGAAAAAACCTCTAGTTTTGCCGCTAATTGGCGTAAATTTCAAATTGTAGAATCATTTGAAACATTGAAACCAAACTAATAAAGAGGAAAATAGAAAAAGTGAAATGACGATTTTTAAAAAATATCAAATACAATTGTGCATTAACATTACATATTGGTAAAAAAAATCACCTATACGTGATTATACGGTCTGGAATAAAATCCGACCTAAGATAAACCCATCATAAATTCTCAAAAAGATAAATGAGACGGTACAACAACGTCTGACAAAAGGAAATTAATAGAAAATTTTGACAGAACCTTCCTGATGAAATAATCCAAAGAAGAAAATAAAAACCCTGAAACTAATAGAGTGGTCTTACTATGGTAAAGAGATGGATCTAAAATGGAACATGAGATGATGACAGGAGTCAAAACACCAAATTTTGACCTGAAACCTTAGCCGGACTACTTCAATTTTCTAAGCTGAAATACGCGCAGTAGACACACAATAATTAAAAAAAAAACTAACAGGTGCACAGATATGCATATTCTCAGATAGCCAAGCAGGACTGAAAGGCTGTGATCATGCCTAACATAACTCATCGGAAAACGAAATCAAGTAACTCTGATGTATGTATCCTGTCGTATACTGAGGGAATTGAAGGCAACGAACAGGCAGGAAAAATTGGCTCGCCCAGAGCATGCTGAAGCTCTGAACAAAGGTCCGAGAAAGAAAATACCGCACATTGGTTGAATTCACGAGGTGCAAAGAAATCATATAAGTCCCTCAACACCCCAACCAGGAAAACAGAAATTTACTTCTTCTCAGCAAGCAAGAATTCAGGAAAATAATAAGCCTTTGTTTTGGCCATTGCTCATTGAATTTACCTAAAAAATGGGAAAAACTTAGTCAAAAATGATGGAATAACAGAAATATCGGAACATAGGTGCCTCTTCGAAAAGGCGATATTAACGTCTAGGGAAGTAACCAAAGAACCCTGGATAGAGTGGAAAGTGCTCAATTACCTTAAGGGTTGACCACTTTATTGAGTTTGGAACATTTCTGCTACAAATATTTTTGATCGTGTGGAAGAAAATTCTCCACTGACCTCAGAAAAAATAAATTTGTATGTTTCTCAATCGTGGTAGTTATTCTGAATTCTTGTGTACATTGTATTGCTATAAATTGCAATGATAACCTTTACGTAATAAGAAGAATATAACCTAGGCACAAATAATCAAAGGATACTTACTCGTACTTTCCATATTTCTAACCATGTGTGGTGTTTAGTAACCGTTACTTAATGATTATTTGGAGATCGTGAGATGCGGTGTGGTGTGAGGTAGGTTTTAGAAAAATATTTTCTTTATCGTGCCAACGTTTCGATGTTTACTGAGATCATCTTCAGGCTCAAAGTGTTTGTTTTCCGTGTAGATGTGTTATACTTGTCTGTCGTGTTGAGAGATTCTGATTGTGACTGTCAACACGACAGACAAGAATGACACATCTACACGGAAAACAACCACTTTGAACACTGAAGATGATCTCAATAAAGATCGAAACGATGGCACGGTAAAGAAAATGTTTTTCTAAAACCTACGTCACACCAGACCGCATCTCACGACCTCCATATAATCATTTCTAACAATGTAAGATGGAAATAGTAAAAACTCAAAATTATTCTATAAAAAACTGATCTTTTCTTCAGTTTGGTCGTTCAGTTGCCATTTTTAAAAGATTTTTTCGAAAAATGTAGTGCATACCAGTGTCACACGGTTTAAAATGACGAAACAACCCCAGATGAGTTGACTAATTACAAACAAGAATTGTAGAGTGCCAACTCCTCTGGCGCTATCGTTTCCTCGTTCGATGAATTACAAAATGGTAATTAATTTATCTTCTTTTAATCCGATTGGCGCCGTAAACACTATTTGCATAATATTATTCAAGGCGGTAGCGTGTATTCTCCCAATGGGAGTTCGTATTTTTTCCACTCGGTTGGCTAAAGACCTTGTAAATCCCTTCTCTGATATCAGTTAACATTTACCGCTTAGCTCGATCCGTTTCCTTAACCCAATTGAGACAACGTCAAATGTTTACTAAATTGCATCAGAAATTTATTTTATAAAATTTCGCAGGTTTGAGTGACAAAAAGAAGAAATATGGGAAAAAAATTATTTTCAAAATGTATATAATTGGTTTGTTTGTTTTTATTTGCTTGTTTCACACTGGTACGATCGAACGCTTCGGACCTCCCTTATTAATTGATTGTTAAATCCAACTAAACAAAAAAAAAGAAGCTGATATAAAACCTTTTAAAAAGATGAAAGGCTAATATGAACTAGTCGAAAAAATCCCTTAATTCCGACAACCATAAAGATTAGCGATTATGTAAAAACAGAAATAAAAATAGAAATCCGTCAGGAACAAGCTCACAACTTGCAGTAGTAACTAATCCGAAATGATGATAAATCTTCTTATAAAGGATACAGCGCGGCCGTTAGTTCCTTAAGCCGATTTGTAACAGTGAATTGAGACAGTTTGGAAACACACGAGCCAATGGAAATTTGTATATTCCATCTGCAATGTTGGACGTCTGAGAGGGGAAAAAACTCGTCGCATGAACTTCTTAAACTGCATTCAAGGGACAACGTTGCTTTTGTGTACGGGAGAATTCAAAAGAAACGTGAGGAGCTAAGCTAAACAACGGATTGTATGCGCGAAAAGGTGCAACACGTATGCGTGCTGGGTGGCAGAGATAAACTTGTCCGTATCCTTTAACATACCCTTGTTCTCCTGTGATGCAATGTTAAACATGGGACTAGTTTTATTTCCTGCGACTATCTAATGAATAGCTGAGCTTTTGTATTTCCGCTTCTTCTGTTTCCCATGAAAGCTCCCTACTTGGCAAGTTAATTATACAATTATTTTAAAGCAATGAAAATCAGAAACCTTTTCTTCAGTGATCGTAAGAACATAGTACAACGTCTTCTACAAATGAATACTCACAGCTTTCCTTCAAAATTTGTTATTCCGGACATTAATTTGGATTGAGGATAAACCATTCTTCTACGCAACATCGTGTACTGGATACTACTGTATCTTCTCTCGAGGAGTGCTGTTCGAAGGGCCTTCTCGATGAGCAACAAGTATTAAATCGAGTCTGGCATCAGAGTTCTAGAAGCTGAAGGAAATTTAATTGCATTTACACCTTTGCACACCGGCTAGTAGATTTAGGCTAGTAATTGGAGTTTAGAAGTTAGATTCGACATCCTCTCCTTGCATAGAATTGACGCAAAATTTCACACATTATACACTGCCGATGCTCCTTCTCATTCGTAAACTACGATTCTCACACTTGTTGATGACACTGCCATATTATCATCTATATCCTGTAATAGATGACTGAAACTAACTACTTTCCTCTATTCCTTAGAACAGTGGCTTACAAAATTTATAATTCATTACATTTTCAGTTTACATTAAACTAAACACCATCTAAAAGCATTTGGTACTTCACTCTCCCTACAGGCCATTGCAATTGTAATCCTCTTCCAATCGAAAACGTCATCTGTTACCGTGAACTACATTTCGACAAGGACTCACCTCAACCATACATAAACGGCTTAAAAGAACAAAATCGAGGATAATATTCCGCCATCGGCCCTCTCACACCACACATTCGCGCCAATAAATTCATTCCATCTCATCACACACTAGGGACACACAACTATGCAAAAAAACATCCCTACTTTCTCCAAGAATCGGAAGAAAAAATTTAATAATTAATGATAATTAGTTTCTGACACACGGGTACCTGCTTTTGGGCCAAAGTCCGCGCAGGTGCCTCTTATTCAAGGTTGCTCGATGTGTCCCACATAATAGAGGCGTGTCATACTTTGGCTTCTTACAGAGAGCGTGTAGGTATGCCTCCGGATTCCTCGAGCACAGCAGTCGTTTTCTGGGTCTCCTGTTACATTTTTTAGAGGTCGAGGGGGTAATTTACTGTATTTAGTTATATTCTATATGTTGTGTCATTATGAGTTTTGTTTGAATGCGAGTACTTATTAGTGTGACTGGTGATGCATGATGGTAAAGTATAGTGTCGCGAACACACCTCCAGCTCTGTGTGTGTGTGTGTGTGTGTGTGCGGAATATTTATAAAAGTACTTCATGTACCCTAATTTAGGTTGGATTATTACCTGTGTATAGGTTGATGAAGGAATATCCAGTACCCAGTACTCCACCGATTAATCAAAAAGAGTGCAATGTTTGAATGTATTTATACGTATGAATGTATTTATTTGTGCGAGTGATCTATCCAATTTAAGTAGTAAGTATTACTAAGTATTAGACTAGATTATAGAGTGCATGAGTTTAGGGGTGAAGTGACCTCGCTGCCAACATCCCTTGTCGGAGCCTAACCCTGTTGGTAGGGAAGCGTTTATTTGTAGTTTATAATCTGAACATCGTTGGACAGTAGTCATCAATATTTATTTATTTGTATTGTTGACATAAATTTAAAAAGTTACTTTTCAGTTTACATTAAACTAAACACCATCTAAAAGCATTTGGTACTTCACTCTCCCTACAGGCCATTGCAACCTCTTTTAGACTTAGCCTTTTTGAGCTTTGATTTTTCAAGACCCAAGTTTCTTTTACA